GACTTGAACAGTCATCAAACTGACCTCAATAAACATTTGAAAAATGTTTGTTTAAAGAATATTTGGCTTGTTTTTTTTTTTAAATTTCACTGGTGTATGGCCAGATTTACTGCCCCAGTGATACCCTATTACTGAGACAAAGCTGGTAACCAGCACAGATAATAAAAATGAGGACACAGCACTAAAGCCTGGAAAAGTTCAATCCCATTTCCTAAAATAAAACTAGACTTTCATTTGAAGAAAAAAAAAAAAAAAAAAAAAATCTAGCTATGAGTTTTCTACTACGCATAAGCAAATTGAGATAATGACCTTGCGATAGTTTTTTTTTTCATAGAAAAAAAAAAAATTCCATTGTCTCGGTTTAACTAAATAAGACCAACAGACCTCGGGTGATCGGCGGTGCTGGTAGTGAGGAGACCTATAGCAAGTATGGATACCAAATCAGAGTTTGCTGGACTTTATAAAAAGGACATGAGTATAGAGAACTTGAGAGTAAAAATTGCCAGGCGTAAATCCGTAAGTCAGAAAGAAAACCGAGATAAAGAGTTCAGAAAGAGCAGAGGCCTGGCACTGATGGATGCAAATGTTTCAGTTGGGAAAGAACAGGACCTGGCAGTGCTGGAAGAGGTCAATGAGACTTTTTTTGCCAAGGGGTCCATGGATAAAACTGCAGTGCCTGGTAAAAAGAGAGACATTAGCGATGGGCGTCGTGCGTTGCTGAAGCGTTATTTAGAAGAGAAGGAGCTAAGGAAACTTAAGGTGCAGAGAGAAAAGGCAAACAAAGGAGTCTTCAAATGTGGCCTATACAAGCCTGGAAATCCATTTATTCCAGTTACCTCCCAGCATGCTGTCAAAGTTAAAACAAATGAAAAGACTGTGCAACCTGCTGTGACTAGAGTTACCAGATCAGCAGCCAGAATAGATGTTCATAACCCTCTATCTCGGCCTGCACAGGTACCTGTACTGAACAAAATTGTTGAACAAACCTGTTCAAAAGGACATGGGCAAATTTCTGCCCCGAAAAAGAATAAGGAAAACAAAGTCACAGATATTCCGTCTGCTAGGACTACAAGAGCAACAGCTGCTTTAGCTGCCACAAGTAGGCTTCCAACAGTGAAGGCAATAAACACTTCAGTAATGGCCAAGCTTCACAAAAGAACAACCAAAGTGAACTCTGAACAGGAGTCTGCTTTACCAAAACCAAAGCCTGCTGTGCTTGACCAAGAGAAATCTGAAGAGCTGAAACCTGAGGTTGCCGTTGAAGAAAAGCTGAAGCCAGATATTACCACTGAAGTGACCGCTGTGGAAAGTGAGATCCTTACAGAAACCTCTGTACGAGAAGAAAGCAAGCCATCCTTTGCTCCAGAGAATTTTGTGTTTCAACCATTGGATGGACTATCAACTTTCACGTTCCAGCCAATGACCCCCAAAAGAGCCAATGCTTTCTTAACACCAAATTTCACATGGACCCCTGTAGATGGTAAAAGCAACTTTGTGTTCACACGAGAGCATAAAACTGAAGAAAATAAGATTCCTCAGGCGTCTCCTCCTGACTTGCCCATGAAGACCGCAAGCGTAGAACTGGAAATGGACACCTGTGCTACTGCTGAAGCCAAAGGTGATGTCTTGGCAGCCCTGCCTGTTAGGGAAGAGAGTGCTCCTGCATGTGACCAAAATGCATGCACACCAACAGATAATCCTCAATTAGATGAGAATCATTGCGATGTGCCATATTTCAGAGATTTGCTAAAGTCTGAGATTCAGAAGCTAACCTTGCTGTGCAGTGAGTGGGATAAAAGAATAATTGAAGAAGATATTCCAGAAGACTCAAAAGATCTGATCAGAACAACAGTTGGGCAAACCAGGCTGCTGATGACCGAACGGCTTAAACAGTTTGAGGGTCTGGTGGATAATTGTGAATTTAAGCGTGGAGAAAAGGAAACCACATGTACAGATCTTGATGGCTTTTGGGATATGATCTATTTTCAGATTGAAGATGTAAATAAGAAGTTTGTTAACCTTGAGAAACTGGAGAAGAATGCCTGGCAACAGACTACAGTCCAAGCTAAAAAGGTGGTCAGGAAAAAAGCTGTTCTGGCTCCAACTGTTAACATAAGTCAGGGAGAGACTGCACGAGCAGCTGCCAGAAGTCGTCTTGCGGTCATTAAAGCAGCAATGAGAAACAGAGTGAAGCAGGAGGAGGTGGCTGAAGAGGCCTTAGTTTCAGAACAGCCCATGCAAGTAGAGCCTGTTGTATTTGATGCAGGCTTTTTCCGAATCGAGAGCCCTGCAAAACTACCTGGCTGCATAAGAACAAAAACTTCTTCCCAGACATCAGATACACTCAAATCATCCCAAAAAATACAACATTCTGATAACTCAATGAGAGATGGTACAGAGGAGGGTGCTGATCATATGCATGTGCAAAAGTCCCCAAGTCCTACAAAATCCCCTGTGAGAAAAGCACTCTTTGACACAGAAGAGGAGAGTTTTCAGCACCATCAAGAAGATCCTGTGGTTACCATTTCTGAAACACAGAGTCAGAAACCGTTTCACAAGTAGCTGACCTGACTAAATATCTGGTTCGTACTACAGAAGTTACAGAAAGTGTAGCTGATTCTCCAGGATTTATGGAATTTTCCAGTTCAGTTCCTCTGGTTTCCAGCTTTGGGGAGGACAGTAAATTTGAAGTTACATTTACAGTTGTGGATGACGTCTTCATGTGCAGTCCAGAGAAGGTTCAGGAATCTAAAATTCCCTCCCCTGAAGATCACACAATTGAAATTTACCCGACGAAGACATCAAGATTTCTAACAATCCACTAGACTTCCTTTGAAAGCTGTACTTCAAATATGGTAGAGAAGTAAATCCCTTCCCTCCAATATTTGTCTACTTGAGAAAATTTAAAATCTTCCCACTACATTCTGTGTCCACCCCCCTTACCAGAGAATGGAATCCAGTCTATTGATGTGTTGACAATGTTTAATAAATATTTAATTGTAAAATGTAAAATGTCATTAAAGTTTCTATTAAAAAAAAAAAAAAAAAAAAAAAAGACCAACAGACCTAATAAGCTATTTAGTAACAAACATAATGCAAAGAAATATGCATTTATAACATACATTTTGCTTGCTCAAATAAATTAAAAGGCAAAACTTCTCATTTTGGATAGAGTAAGAGGGGCTTATAACCCTTGTTTGCTGCCATTTGTGTCCCATTAGGCAGATTTCCATTCACTTCCTGTCCAATAAGAAGTGTTTGGGAAAACCCTCCAAAGTGAGGGAATCCCTGGGATGTCACCAGAACTAGTATCTCCATTAGAAGATTTCCCCATTCTAACATTGTTCTGGGAATTTGTTTTTACTTTTGCTTGTAAATGTAAAAAGGAGTAGCTGATTCTTCCTAAAGCTACTTTCACACTGATCCGTGGCAAAACCACATACCGCACTTTGCCTGCATATGTGGCGTGTTTTTTTTTTAAAGGACATGTGGCTCCAAAACTGAACCAGAAATGCATCTCGGGGAACGTTAGAGGCGTTTTTGCCATGTTTTCCATTGATTTCAATGAGTAGGTACTTTGGTTTGTTTAAATGAACAAACATGCTCCAAAAATGCTGCAAGCTGGATTTTTTTTTTTGCTTACACTGCAACGAAAACATACATAGGGAAGCATTTTTCATGAGCTTTTTTTGCGCTTTTTTTTTTTAAACACAAAAGTGCCCCAAAAGCTCCTTGGTATGAAAAGGGCCCTTACAGGGAATAAAACAAGACAGGTGCTCTAATCAATCTCCACTCTGTCCAAATATATATAAAAAAAAAAAAGAAGTTTTGCCTTTAGTTAACCTTTATTTATGTATCACTAATGGCCTATCTACTTTAAAGTACATCTATGCATATGCACCCAAATATGCATTATGTATACTCTAAGTGGATGTATATCACACCAATCTGTAGAATTGTACAGACCATGATAATGAAAGAGACATTTCTGTAACAGCCTGAAATCAAGAGATCACATTTTTTTCTGCAACAAACACTAAATGCCAAAATGCTTTCTAGTGCCCACTGTGTAAAATTGTGTGCATTATCCAAGAATGCATGCATGTAGTACTTCTAGCCCTGAAATAACATACTGGCTATACACTTTAAAAGAAGCCCATCATGAAAGAACCAGCAGCTGCCACATCTGACCTCCTAATACTGCTATATGCCTAGGCTTCAATATATTTTGAGTCTCTGGGCTGCCATAGTTATGTAGTTCAGGAGTGTCAGAGTGAAGTAAGAACTTGCACTCTACCTATTTGTTCCGGGTCAGTGATCCAGGGAAATACTGAAGTCAAAATATTAATACTACAGCCAGGCAACAAGTAAGAGGCAGTCAGCAAAAGCAGCTTCTGAAAACAGGTTTCTTTAAAAGACAACTGCAATAGATGGGCAGATGTGCCAACTTATACTATGGATTTTCCAACATCATAGGTCATGGTGGGATTTAGTCACTCTTTTATGTGAAGTTAATCAGAAACAAAATGCAATTCATGAATGTTCATACTTTAGGAGTGAAATTGTGCAACATTTAAACTTTTTTTTGAGATGGGAGGGAGCAGTCTAAAAACAAATCTGTGTGAAAGTAAACTAAAATTGGCAATATACAAGTAAAAAATTGTAACTTTTGAGACAGAACTTTTTTCTTTGAACCCCTTCTAAAAAAGGAGTTTAAAAGCAAAAGCTTTGTTGATGAGGAATTGCTATACCACTTGTTAAGTTTAAACAATGAAAGCATGGCTGACTATCCCTTCCGAACCTAATGTATCAACAGAAGCCTCTTGTGCCATGAGCCTGCCCCACTGGCGTCTGCCATTTGGCCTCTAAATGTCAACAGACCCGGATACATTGACACATTCCACTAGTGAGATCAAGAAGGGAGTTTGAAGCACAGAGGTCTGAAATTCAAGATAGTTCTTGGCGTTGAAAACGACTTGGCGAGTTTCACAGCATCCACATCACAGGTTTAGTTTCTTGAGCTGTTCATAGGTAATAAAGAACTGAAGAGAGTTAAGGATACAACAGCCAACTACTGATCAGACACAATGTATTATTTAACATGACTTATTCCAGTGCATCTCCAATTATCCCAGTTCCATCTGGCCTGACATTTGGTTACTGTAAACGCTAAAACAGATTCAATTATTCAAAATGTTTACCAGCCTTTTTTTTTTTTTTTTTTTTTTTTTTAACTTTTAGGTTTGATAAACTGGGCATGAATTAGGTAATTTCAGTGAGTTATGTTCCCGAAGAGGTTTCCCTTTACTTTGTGTTGGTAACATCTAGAACAGATCATTTATACAAACAAACATTTATACGAACGGCATAAAAAACAGCATTTAAATATGTGAAAATTAAAAAGGATACAATAATATTCCATGGTCCCAGTCTTAACCAGTTTGGCCAAAAGCCTTTGTACAAAGCAAAGAATCCTTCATTCTTCCAAGTCTAAAAAGAAAACACAATATCATCACAAAAAACAAATAGAACAAGACATCTTAATGTATACAATCAAGAAAATGAAAATGGGTTTATAGATAACTTCCACATATAAAACTGGCGACATTAAAAGCTGAACTCCATGAAAAACGGATTTTTTTAAAAAAAAAAGAGTTAGATTGGGCAAGCATGTTAAATTTAATGATTGCTATGCAACATCTGGAGGGTTGCTGAACATGGAAATTGTCATGAGTGGTCTATGCCACAGATAGTCGGAGCTGTAATCTGGGAGGTGCTGCAGGGACTCCCCATCTCTTACAGCGAGCAAAGTGGGTTGCTCGCTTAGCACCTCCCATAAAAAAAGCCTTGTATTCTTTAATGAATACAGGATGTTCCATGCCTGAATGGGGGTACAGCATGACGTTAATCAGCCTCTCCTCTAATCACAATGTCTTGTATTCTTTTCATTATAAAAGGAGCTTTTTGAAAATAGAAGATGCTTTTTGAATGGAGAAGGTGCTGAGCGACTAGCTATACTCACTGTATGAGATGAGAAGTCGCTGCAGAGCAGCCCAGACTGTATGCGGCACAGACTGCTACTGACAATGTTAGCATCCCCAGAAGCCCTCCAGATGTTACATAGAAACCATTAAAAGATAACCATACTAGTCCAATCTAACTTTTAAAAAGCAATTTTTCGGACAGTTAAGCTTTAAATAAGCACAACTGTGCTCACAAAAATATCCTAAAGATAAAGCTTTTAGGACAAGTCCCAATTTATGTGAACCCATGGTAAAAAGCTCCTGAAGAAGTATATACCTGCAGTAAACAATCCACTGTGCCCTTGTAGCTTGACCCATCGCAGAGGGTTCTTTGGTTCATCATTCGAGTTCGAACAACATCAACTGGATTGGATGCTAACGCTCCTGCCAATCCACAAGTAAAACTGGACCTACATGAAACAGGCATCAGAACATTTCAATATCAAAAAAAGGTTTACAAAAGCCAGCAAGAAGAGCTCTATTGCATTTTTCTCCATTTAGCAATCATTCCCACTTAAAAGACCAGACCTTTTCTGGCATTTTACTTACATGTAACAATCAGGTTTTTTTTGCTAGAAACTCTTAGAACTCCCAAACATTATATGCATTTAAAAGCAGAGGCTCTAGAGAATAAATTGGTGGGTTTTGCAATTTTGTGTGCCACACTGTATTTGCGCAGTA